TAATTTTTTGTAATTTTTTTAAGGTAAAGCATTTTCTTGGCTTTCAGCCCTTCCCTTCCCTTTATCTTGTTAATAATCCCCTCTCCCCCTCCCAAATTAGGAGAGGCAAGGGAGCAGGACTTCAGAAGATACCTTCATGGCTCCTGAGAACTAGTGATTTCTGCACTGGGTGGTTTTCTAATTTTTCCTTTTAAAAAAAAATTTTTTTTTTTTAGTTTTCAGTTTTTTCCTTCTCTTTTCCTCTGTTTCTTGGTTGTTTTTGTTGCTGTTGTTTCTCTCTATATATTTCTTTTTCCGCATGCTCCTGGATGGTCAGATTGAACTTCAGGTGTGGGAAGAAACACACCATCTATCGGATGACTAGAAATCACCACAGGGTCACAAGAACTATCAGAAAGCAAGAAAATACCTCTCCTCCAAGGGAAAAGAATAACTCCTCTTCATCCGCAGACAGTTCAATGGAAATCATGGAAATGTCTGATAAATAATTTAGGACATTCATAATGGTGAAGCTAACAGAGATGGAAGAGAAGAGAGACAATGAACTACAGAAGAGAAAGGAGAAAGAAGCTGACAAGTTCCAGGAGGTGAGGAAAGTCTGGCAAGATCTGAAAGGGATTACACACTTTACAGAAGAATCAAGTGGAACTGTTAGAGATGAAGACTATAATACAGGAAGTCAAAATCTCCCTTGAAAGTATTAAAAGCAGGCTTGATTAGACAGAAAATAGAATCTCAGATGTAGAAGAGAAAATTGCTGGCCTAGAAAAATCCACCATGAAGACTGAGAAAATTGCCCCAAAATTTGAGTATAATATACCAGAAGTACTAGATACCATCAAATGTCCAAACATCTGGATAATTGGCATCCCAGAAGGCGAAGAGACTCATAAGGGCATTGATAATCTATTCCATGAAATCCTGTAAGAAAACTTTCTAAACCTAGAGAGGCACTCAAAGATCCAGTCCCAAGAAATACAAAGAACCCCAGATAGAATCAACCCAAGAAGATCTTCTCCAAGACACATTATAGTCAGACTGACCAAAACCACAGACAAAGACAAGATACTAAGCTTGGCAAGAGAGAAATGGCAAGATACCTACAAAGGATATCCCATCAGACTAATAGCAGACCTCTCATAGGAAACAATGCAAGTGAGGAAAGAATGGGAAAATATATTCAAAGCATTAAGGGAAAAGCAATTTCAACCAAGAATACTGTACCCGGCAAGATTATCCTTCATATGGGAAGAAAAGACAAGAACATTCTCATATAAACAAAACCTGAAAGAATTTACTAGCACCAGACCAGATCTCCAAGAAGTTATCAAGGGTGTGCTATGTCAGGAAAGTTAAATGCAGACACACAGAAATAAGAGTTCAAAAACTAAGATAATGGCCAACTTAATCATAGGGATAAGTCTGGAGTTGAATAGTATATCCCAGAATTCAATTGGGGAGATTGAACCACACAACAGAAAATAAAGTACATGAGACTGAACTGGTGAAATAGCATTCTGTGACTCTTGACTAAAATATTGCTGCTTTTCTTCTAGGCTTTGTTGTCCGGTTTTAAGAGTTTTTGTCCTGTCTTGAGCTGTCAATAGGTTCATTTACCTACTATTTGAACAGAATACTAACCTGTTTCCAGGCTTTAAGTTTTAAGCACATTTCCTTACCAATTCAAAACTGCTTTTCTTGAAATTATCAGCTGAACTTGCTATTGAAAGTAGTTAGATTATTTAAGAAATTGTGTGAGGAAAAGGAATGGAATTCAGCTGTAGACACCAGACATAGTGTGAGAAGAGAGTGGGAAAAGGCAGAGAGTCAGACATAGGAGTAAATATATATAAATATATAAAACTAGAAATGGAAAATTATTGATGATGACATGCATGATTAAGCCACTACGCAGTATATGCTGGATGGGAAACCACATTTTGTATGCTGTGATGATGCTTAGGCAATGAACGTAAATTAATTAATTAAAAAAAGTTTCAGGAGGGAAAAAAAACATGAAAACTGTTTCTTTTGAAATTAAAAACAATGCATATTTGATGATTGCAGTAAGCTGTATAGCCCCAGCTAGGTGTTACTTTATAGTATATTCATTCTACTCACTGAGGTTTATGCCTAAAGTCAGACTTATGTTCGTGGATATGTATATAGCAGCTGCTCTTGCTATTGGAAATATTTAGATTAAGTTCACTGGCGAATCAATAAAATGGGGGGAAAAGGGCATAGAAAGCAACCATGGATACCAGAGACAGTGTGGGAGGAGGGTGGGACACGGCAGAGGGTGAGAGATAGGGAATCAAGGATGGCAAAAAAAAAAAAAAAGCAAAGTATACAGGAAACAAGAAATGGAAAATTATTTGTTGACGATAACATGTATGTTGATGTGCTTGATTGAGCCAATATACAGTGTATTCTGGATGGGAAAGCTCATTTTGTATGTTGTAATGATGTTTAGTAAATGAATGTAAATAAATAAATTTAAATAAAAAGAAAAAAAAACATCCATAGTGTGGATATTACTTAGCAATAGAAAGGAAATAATTATTGATAGGTACAGCAAGTTGGATGAATTTCAAACATTAAGGTGAAGGGGGAAATCCCCAAAGGGCATATACTCTGATCTCATTTATGTAATAGTCTAAATGACAAAATTAGAGGGTTGATATACAAAATGATGGTTATCAAGAGTTAGGGATGGTACTGGGGAAGAGTATTGGGGTGACTGTTGTGGGTAGGGGAAGAGTATTGGGGTGACTGTTGTGGGTAGCAGAACATGATATTTATGATGGTAGGAAAGTTCCTATCTTGATTATGGTGATATTTATCGGAATTTATGTAACAAAGTGACAACTATACATACACATTTTACTAATGTCAATTTGCTTGTTTAACAAAATTAGCAAATTGTGCCATTGTATAAGATTAGGGAATATGAGATTTCTCTCTACTATTTTTGCAATTTCCTGTGAATCTGCAGTTATTTTTAAATGTTGAAAAAAGATGATCCTGGGTGAATCCAGAGCTTTTAACCACCATGCCACCTGCCAGCCCCAAAACACAGTGATCTTAAAATACTGTGGTAAATAGTTTTGTAACAAAATATGAAGGCGTCATGATTATTATGTGAATGAGAGCCATTTAGAAGGAACAGAATACAGGGGACTAGCAGTTAGTGTAATGGCTATGTTGCTGGACTCCCACATAGTCGACCAAGGTTCACGTCCCGGACCCGGTGGCTTAAAACTCACGCCGGGCACGTGTGCATGCGTGTCCAAGATCCAGAGAGGAGAATGGAGGCGAAGGGATTGCGGCGTGACCATTACCCCCTGGGGGGTGATTTCTCGCTTTCTGTCTCTCTGTCTGGCGAGCGCATGTGCCCTATAGCGAAAACCTCTCCAAAAAAAAAAAAAAAAAAGAAGGAACAGAATATATATTGGTGATTCTGTCCACATCCGGTCCTGTCTGAGCTCAGAATAGTAAAGAGGAAGCTGGTCACACTGGAAATGAGGTCTTGCCTTGCAGTATAGACTTTTATGCAGTTGCTGTGTGACAGTTTTAACTGCCTAATTGAATTTGCATGTTTACATAGTCCTTATGATTATTATAAAGGTCAATGTATTTTCCTATCATGTTGACATATTCATTTAGTAGAACTTATCCCCTTTGAGATTAAAGCCAATTTTTTGTTTGTTTGTTTTTCTAAACCAATTATTTTTGACATATTGGTTTCTTAGAGGTTATGGGTATGTCCTGTTTTTTCCTTATAAAACCTTGGGGTTGGGAGAGGCATTCTGTTACAGTGAGGCACAGTCTTACTCCTCAGCATTCATGTGAACTGACATAATGATAGGATTGTATCTGGAGGGAGAGCTCTATAATGGCAGAAAATCAGTAGGTAATGTTCAAAATCAGTAAGTCAGTACTTAAAGAATATACAATTCGTAAGTATATTACTGAAAATTATGTCAGCTCATACAGTGATAAAATATAGTGGGAAGAGGAACAGATAATAGCAGGAAATGAGTCAGAAATGTCCAAAGTGTGTAAATCATATTTAAATCATTTGGAGATTTCAATAACTTAATCACATGTGGCTGGCTTAAATTGAGGTATGCTGTGAATGTAAAATGGACAAAATTTTGAAGAGGTAGTCATAGAAACTGTAAAATATCTCACTAATGTTTCTTATATTGACTATAAAGGGTCTTCAGAAAATCCATGGAAAATATATACTTTAAAATATTATGTATGGGGGGAACAGGTGGTGTGGTGATTAAGGCACTGGACTGCCATATGACTGACCATAGTTCGAGTCCCAGATGTGGCAGCTTGCTTTCTTTCTTATCTCTCTCTTTCTCTGGTGAGCACACATGCCCTATAGCAAATTAAAATAATAATAATAAATAAACTAAATCCTTTAAATATTATGCTTGGATTTCACGATTTTTTTTTTATGAAAAATAAACTTGTACTTTAATTCCACTTGTCTATAAAATTTCTGGTGCTCTCTTGCATAAAATGTTTTATACACATTAGGTTAAGCAAATCATTAGAAGTAAAGTCACCTATTTTTACCTTAATGTGGCTACTAGAAAATTTATAATTATGTATGTGGCTTGTATTTTCCTCTTGGACAACAATACATTAGAATCTATAGGCTGCACATTTAAAACTGGTTCTTTCTGGAGAGTAGATTGAGCCTGGGGAAAATTAAGAGAAAGTTTAATATTAAGCCCTCTTTACTAATTGAGTTATAACCATGTTAATGAAATTTTATTAAATTTACCTTTTTAACAAAGGCCATACTCTTTACCCCAAATACTCTAGTTGGTTATGTTTTGAATTGTACAATAAATATTAACTATAGTTAGAAAAGTTGTGATTAAGGAAAAGAATTCCTTTATGTACTATTGATGTTTTTCCTTTATTACTATTTGCTGTATCAGAAATGAAATATTTGGTTCTTTCCTGTTGTTGTTTAGCTTATTGCAGGAGTGACCAGGATATTACTTTCTAGAAGTAATGCCCACAGAAAGCGGAAGTTGTTCAACTGCTCGCCAAGCAAAACAAAAACGCAAATCACACAGCCTTTCTATACGAAGAACTAACAGCTCAGAACAGGAGAGGACAGGACTGCCAAGAGAGATGTTAGAAGGACAAGTAAGTATATTGGTCAATGCCATATTTTAAAGGTGGTGATTGTGTTTGGAATGTTATAAAAATAGGTATCTACTGGTCTCCAATCTAGACAAAAGGTATTGGGTTACTAAAAAAGATCCTCCTTGGCCCAGCAGTGGCTCAAATAGTAGGGAGCCACATTTTTTTTTTTTTTTTTGAGAGATTTTCACTGTAGGGTGCGTGCGCTCGCCAGACAGACAGAGAGAGACATAGAGACAGAAAGCGAGAAATCAC